ACGACCACTATGGGTCCCAACAGTATCGGTATATAGCCTAAACATTATCTCTAGCATGATAAATAGCTTAATTATTTTATCACATAATGAAAACACGGACATAAACAAGATAAGTCCACTATATAGTGCCATGGAATCGACCAGGTCACAATTCTCACGGTACACGCCCGTCACTTGGAATGTGCGCAACACCAATCATATAACACAGATTTGGGGGTTTCGAAATCCAGAACTAAGTTTAGAAGTGTTACTTACCTCAATCTGAGCAAAAACTCTACTCTAACATGCCTTTGCCTCACAAATCGGCCTCCAAATGACCCGAATCTAGCCACAAGCAGTACAATACAATCAATACGAGCTAAAGTAATCAATTTTACAACACGAAGTTATAACTCAAAAAACCAAAATCGGCTCCAAGCCGGGCTCCGGGCCCATATCTCAAAATCCAACAAAAGTCACAAAATCCGAAAGCCCATTTAACCACGAGTCTAACCATACCTAATTTATCAAAATCCAACACCAAATTGCCACTCAAATCCTCAAATCAAACTCTCTAAATCCCTAGCCTCACACCCCTAAATTACACCAGCATTATCGAAACCCTCGCTTATATATGTTATGCCCAGGCTTTTCACACCTGCGGCAACTTAGCCGCTTCTGCGGCCTCGCGGGAGCAAAAAATGCTGGTTTCTGCAGTTTCCTTCGCATCTGCAGCCCCAACTTCGGCTCTTGCGGACACGCTCCTGCGGACAACCATCTAATTCTGCGGAGCCCAGCTCCACTACCCTTCTCCGCTTCTGCGATCCTCACCCTGCATCTGCGGTCACGCAAGTGCAGGAAAACCTTCGCACCTGCGACCATCTGCTCCCCTCTCTTCAGACTCCGCATCTTCGGAACTTATCACGCACCTGCGAGCTCGCATCTGCAGTTCCCACTGCGCAAGTGCGGTTACACCAGCAGCACTCAAACTTCAGCAATCCTTCAACTTTAAATCTTGATCCGTCAACCATCTGAAACTCACCTGAGGCTCCCGGAACCTCAACCAAACATAACATCAAGTCCCAAAATATCATACCAACTTAGTCAAACCCTCAAATCAGTTCAAATAACATCAAGAACACGAATCGCACATAGATTCAAGCCTAATGAACTTTGAAACTTCCAACTTCTACAAACGACGCCGAAACCTATAAAACACGTCAGAATGACCCCAAATTTTTCACACAAGTCACAAATAACACCACAGACCTACTTCAACTTTTGGAATCCCAATCCGACCGTGATATCAAAGTCCACTCACGGTCAAACTTTTCAAAAATCCAACTTTCGCCATTTCAAGCCTAATTCCAGTACGGACCTCCAAATCACAATCAGGACACGCTTCTAAGTCCAAAATCATCCAACTAAGCTAACGGAACCATAAAAATTCTATTCCGGAGTCGTTTACACATAAGTCAACATCCGGTCAACTTTTCCAACTTAAGCTCTCAATTATGAGATTAAGTATCTCAATTCATTCCCAAATCCTTCCGGACCCGAACCAACTAACCCGATAAGTCATATAACAGCTATAAAGCACAAAAAGAGCAGTAAATGGGGGAACGGGGCTACAACACTCAAAACGACCGGCCGGGTCGTTACAGAATTAGAATGTATAATTTTACCCAATGAGGACCTTCTATTAAGCAATAACCTTCCCGCTATTTTTCGCCACTTTAAAGACATCATATCATTATATTATATTATATTATAAGTATTATTATATTATATTATAAGTATGAAGACTAAAATGACATTAAAAGTTTGAGACTATTTTACGCTTCAAACAAGCATTATTTTAAGAAACTTCTTGTGCAAAAATATAAATATGCATTCTTCAAAGATAACAAAAGAAAAAGTTTAATGCAAATAAAAAATAAAATTAAAATAAATAGAAATGTGGGAGCCGTTTAGATGGCCATAGTAAATGGAAAATAACTCTTGGACTTCATGCAATGCATCTTTTTTTCACTCATAATTGCTTTCATCTCCCATTGCCTATTGAAACTAACCTTTGAAATGTGCTTCCTTTAAATCATGAATGAACAATGAACTAAATTCAACAATTCATCTGATTCCATTTTGATATATAACACTCATTTAGACCTCTTAAATTAGGTAAACTTATTTAAAGTGCAAATTAAAATATCAAAATAACCATAAAAATTTTGAACGGCTATTTTACCTTTGTTGTGCGAAAATGTACATATACATTTTTCAAAGATAACGAAAGAAAAAAATTAATGCAAAAAAAAAATGAAAATCAGCAGAAATAGAAACATGGGAGTCGTTCACATGGCCCCAATAAATGAAATTGGACTTCCTGCATTGCATTCTTTTATACTCATAATTGCCTTTGAAATGTATTTCCTTTTCAGTTTTTAGCAATTAGTGCATTTTCTTGTATGTCAGCCTTCTCTCATACTTTATTTATTTGTATAAATCATGAGTGGACAACGAACTAAATTCAACAATCCATCATGTTCCATCTCCACTTTTACGTCTCTCAAGTTAGGTATACTTATTTCTTTTGTTCTTACATTTTATTTGAGCTTTGCTAATTCGAGATGGTTGTGATTGCAATCATTCTCACGATGTATTAATATTATTTTTCTATAACATAATGATATAAATAGTTGATATCAAAAGGATAAAAGTATAGAAGAATTGAAAATTAGAACAAAAGCTCCTTTTATGCCATTGGCAACTGCTTGACAATTTAACATTAGAACGAAGAGTGAGTTAGCATTCACACAAAGTAAACACAATGAGTATGAGTGTACCAAAAAAGGTACTCCATGCATGGAATATTTTTATTTATTTATAATTCCTATTCATGTAAAATATATGCTCTTTTATTTTCTCCCATAAGTTTTTTGCTACTACAACAATTTTTCTTTACCGTTATAAGAATTTTTTTCATTCTCCTAATTAATTCTTCTTTAATTTATGCGTGAGTCTTTACTTTCTAGCAATTTCAGTAAGATTGTGCTTTGCAACAACAATAATTAGCGATTGAGTGGGTTTATAATTCATCAATTTGAGCTTGTATTTTTCCCCTTCATAGTTCGTCTAACTCATTATTTATTCTAATATTTAAAATATTTGTATTAATTACAGTGGCGGATGCACATAGCCACTTGTGGGTGCTTAAGCACCCATAAACTTTGACCATATTTAGTAATTTACATAAACTATTGTACAAATATTTAGATAAATATTGAGTGAGCACCCATAAATAAATTTATTTTTCCTCTTCTTTTGGAGTCTTTATCAGCGAGCACCCATAATTTTAAAATCCTGGATCCGCCACTGATTAATTAGCATGAGATACAGGTGAAATGTAGTGTCCAAGAACTAGTAGCTCATACTTTTCCCAATTCTCCTAGGAAAAAATAATGAATACAAAGGGAAAAGGAGACGGTGAAATTATGTCAACGTTGCAAATTCCACCGTGGTTGGAACTGCCGGAAGGTATATGGGCCAACAAATTACACAGGCTGGGTGCGGTGGAGATACTGTTGACTGCACAGAAGGTGTGCACTACATGGAGGCGCGTGTGCAAGGACCCGTCCATGTGGCGAGTCATTGACATGTGGAATTATGGCGGCCCTTATATCCAGCCTTACCACTTAGAGGAAATGTGTCGCCATGCCATTGTTCGAAGCCAAGGTGAAGTAGTTGACATCAGATTGTCATTCTTCGCCACGAAAGAGTTGCTTTTTCACGTAGCGGAGAGGTAATTTCTGGCTTCCTTAATGTATGTTTCCACTTGCATTTCATTTATTCACTTTTTCTTTTGATCATGATCAAGAAAAATTAAAAGACTTAGTATTACGTGGTACTGCTACTCAAAACTACAACGCGAAGGCTTCATTGAAGTAGTTCAAAAGTTGCCATCATTGGAAGAGCTAAGTCTGATAGACGCTACTATCACAGCTAAGGCTTTTGAAGCTCTTGAACGCTCTTGGTCATGGTTTAAGTCGTTAGAATTGAAGAAGATCTCATGTATTATGAAATCCGGTGAAGAAATAAATGAAGAGGCTCTAGCTATTGCTCAAAGCCTGCCTGCCCTGCGCCGCCTTCAGCTCATTAGGAATTATATGACAAATGAAGGCCTTCAAGCTATTCTTGATGGTTGTCCTAATCTTGTATCACTTGACTTGCGGGGGTGCTTTAATGTTAGACTCAACCAAGTCTTGAATAGTAGAATTTCTCGACAGATTAAGGATGTGAAGCTCCCTCATGACTCTATGGAAGGTTTTGAATTTTAATTTGAGCCTTAGGTGGGCGGTGGGGGGTTGCAGTTGACAAGTATAACATATCTGATGATCACTTTGGTTTTTGAAAAAGATATAAGGGTTTTGTTTCTAGCATCAGACTGAGCATGTGATTTTTGCCCTTTATAAAATATTCTTATAAAATTTAAAGAAAATAGATTTTTCAAATTATTTGCCATTTTGTAGGATTTTTGTAGGATTTTATTAATTGTTTGCATTTTTGTGCACGTTTAATTTTGTTAAAATCATTAAAAAAATATCAAAAATACCATGCATTGTATTTAGATTTTTGTTTTTATAGTTTTAGGATTAACTATTTAATTAATTGCTTTATTAAAAATGAAAATCACAAAAATGGCTCATTTTTACATTTTTACCTTTTAAATTTTAGATTAGTGATTTTTCTCTTTTAATTTAGGATCAAGTAATTGTTAAAAATTTTATAATTAGATAATTAGCTTAATTTTAAAATTTAGATTAATTTAGGATTTTTTAATTAAAGAAAAAGAAAAACAAAGAAAAAAGGAAATAAAAAGGATAATTGAGCCAAAGGTTTTAGACTTGAATTTGGGCTGAATTTATGCCCAAATCCGTTCCCAAATCCGCCCCAAACCCAGCCCAAACCTAGCCTACCCGGTCCAGCCCCCCCAATAAATAAAACGGCGTCGTTTCTTACCATAAAATCCCATCCGTTGATCTCTTTTGATCGAACGGATGGGAACTGATCACTCCACCCCAATATAACTGTCTGAACGACCCCCCCTAACCCCCAAAACACCTCCCATTTCACCCTCATCTCTATCTCTAAACCAAACCCTAGCCGCCCCCAAACACCTCGCCGGCTCCGCCGTGTTCCGCCGCCGGAAATCGCCACACGGCGGCGGCGACACCCCAAACTCCACCAAATTTACACCCTGTGTTCTCCTCTCCCTCCCCTTTCCAAATCCACAAATCGATTCCCTCAAACCCTTGCCAAATTGCTCGAATTTCAGATCTAAAATCGGGACCTAAAACCCTAGTTCATCCAAATCAACCCAAATTCACTATACATACTCCCAGCCTCCCCTCTATACCAATCTACTAACCTTTCCCCCAAAAGACCCGTCCAATTCCGTTAATTCCAGATCTGGAAATTCGGAACCCTAGTTTACCCACTTTGCTGAATTTTCTTCTGATTCATCGAGTTTTAAGGCACGAGTTGAGCCTAAAATTTACATTAACTAATCGTTCTCAGCAAGAACGATTATTTAATGTAATTTTGGACCCACCTCGAAGCACGATCGGAGTCTAGCCAGCCTTGTTCGAGTCCGGGGTCTGTTCCTTCATTCCTGAACCTCATTAGGTATTACTTTCCCCTACTTTTCTTGTCCTATTTTTATTCTTACGTATGTTTTGGTCCACACTGGTTGAAAACAAAAGAAAATGAAAAAATGTGTTGATTAGGTTTTCTTTTTTATGCATCTCTGTTTTTCTTATTTTTGGTTAATTAATCAGTAACATGATTTAAATTTTAGGATCCTTATATTGTTTCCCTTTTCCTGCTTTTGTTTTCTTGTTCTTTTTTTTTCGTTTTGGTATTTAATTGCATGCTCTAGGTTATTTAGATTATTGTTGTCAGTTTGATTCGAATGCTTCATACTAGTTCATGCTTCACTATTCATCTCTTAGATTCAATTTGATTGGTATAACATTTTGTACGGTTTAAGTAGGATTAGGTTTCTGGTTGTTTAAATCAGAGGTTCATCATGAAATTAGCTCATTTTAGGTTTTTAAGTGTCCAGAAGTTTAAAGTTCAATCATTGTCAAGTTTTGTTGTTTGATTTACATTGGCATACCCATTTGTGTTTACGCTGATTTGCAAACCAGTAGAAACTTATAGGGACCTAATTGAACTAAAAGGAAACTTAAGGGAGCTTCAAAACTTTAAAAAATAAAATATCTAGGAAGAGGAAAGTTCTAGAAGTACCAGCTGTCCAAAAATGATTTTAAAAGATGCTGAAAAATAGGATAAGGAGGACAGCTGTACCAGGGCTGTTAGGAAGGACAATACTATTTTCAGAATTAGGATAAGGAATATTCCTAAAAATACCCACCCTAGGCAGCCTATATATAGACACTATCATTCTGAAAATTAGGAAGGAGGATTCAGATTTTTACAACCCTAAAATACACTCTAAAATTTCAGCTGTTGTTTCCTAAGAAGCTGATTTTCTTTTCCTCTAATTTTAGCAAAAACTTAAAGAACTTCTTTGAAGAGTTTCTGGGTTTTCATAAGTCGAAGATGGATTGAATCTGAAGCTTTCTTTTTCTGGGATTTACTGTTGTTCATGTTGTTGTTGTCTAAGTTTGGTTGAGCTTCAGCTTTCATTATTTTGATCCTTACTTGGTCTTCTTCCTGTTGTTCTTCTGTTTCTGGCCGTTAGGTATGTAACATCACAATTTGAAACCTCTTTGAAATACGAAACTGGAGTTGTAATCTGTTCAAGATTTGCCTATGTTTAACATTTTGTGCATCAAAGATGTGTTGTTATTACTGAATCTATCCACTCTTTGCTTTGACCATGATAAATGAAGTCTATTACTGTGATTGTGCTGCTGAAAATCTCGTTAGAAATAGAGCTATTTGATTTATTTTTTTAAGGTGAAATGATGTAGCATAGTTTAGTCCATAAATGGAGCAGACCTATTTGGTACTTTAGCACAACATTTTTCTTTTAAAAGCTGAATGTGTGAGCTGTTTGTATCCATGAGATTTAGTGGGATATGAATGTTGTATGAATAAAATGATGTCAATATGTTTAAAATTGGCAGTTTTTTTTAGCTCTAGCATTATATATAGGGCTTCTATAGTTTTCTGCATATGCGACTGAAGGAAGTGATATTAATCTGAAGATATTGAAGGGTGTTGTTATTAGTCCCATGGCTATAGTCTGCAGATTTGGCCACCAGTTTGCCAAATCAGCAAGATCTGAGCCAAAGAGTGGGATTCTGCTGTTGAAAGCATGCTGAAACTGGTACTTTCATGAGGTGGATTGAGCTTCTGATGGATAAATCATATCCAAAAGGGGGCGAGTATTCACTAGGTTATCAATCACATGGAAGTTGTAATAGATTAGTGTTTAAATTTATGTATTCAATAGGTTTTAATGTAATATTTCTGATTTTGGTAAGCTTTATTTTTATCTGGAAGACTGTAATGAATTAGGTTCTGATCTTATTAAATCAACTGTTGTTAAGAGTGTAATTATTTGTTGTGATATTTTCGTAAGTATAAGTGATGCAATTGGCCAAGGCTATGGGCCGAACATTCAAGGCTAAAAGGCATGTTTCTGCGACTAAAGCTGGGCCAGACTTGCGATTGAGCCCAGATGGGGAAAAACAAACCTCAACGAGTCTGGGCCTAGGCCATTGGGCCTGGGCATTAAACCCAATATCTTGGTCCAATTGTAAATGGTTTCCCTTGCGAATTCCAATATAAATGCATGCCTTTCATTTTTTTTATTTATTTTTTTTGTCCTACTTAAAAGTTAATTGAGTTACAACCTTTGCAAACATGTATTAGGGCTTAAAATGTAAAGGTAGATAGTCTCAGGCAGTAAGCTTTCGTGATTGGGCCCGCCTAATACAAGCCCAATGTGGGCAGACTTGGTTAAAACTCAGACTGGGCAAAAGCCTTTGAGTTCTCTTTTGTTCTGGCTATGTTTTGAGCCTAATACAGTTTCAATGCTATTTTCTTCGTTGACCAAGTAATTCATGGGCTACTGCTGGCCCAAATCCCTTATCAAAATTGATTAAAAGGCCTAGCTCTTCATCCTAAGCATGTCTATAATTAAAAGCTTCTTAGTGAACTTCAAATTAGATTCAAATAGGGGCATCCGTTAGCTTGCTTTAATAAAATACAAATCTTTTAAAATAAATTGAGGTGTGCCATACATAAACAAAATCCATAACTTATGGCCCTCACATTAATACTAGTGGAAAAATACTTTGAACTTTCGTAGCTTGCTTTAGGCACACGTTTTATAATAAACCATCGTGACTATGGGTACGGTTCCCGTGGCATAGTCATGATATCTAATTCCCAAATTCGGGGGTGCATTTCATGTAACCCGATCACAACAACTTCGAATATTAATAAAATACACATGTCGTGAATCACGGGTGCATTTCATGTACCGTGGTTCGCGGCGTGTTCCAAAACAAACAAGTGTACGACAATCGTAACTTGTTCAAGAAATAATTCCATAAATCCTAAAAATAGTTAATTATTTAATTGAAAGCGGTAAAAGGAATAAAATGCACAATAGGCTTAAAACATGTAGTAAATCAGATAATTAGGCCAATTTTAACAGTTTACGCGACCGTGCTCGAACCACGGAACCCGGAAATGCCTAACACCTTCTCCCGGGTTAACAAAATTCCTTATCTAGAATTTCTGGTTTCGCAAACTTTTAAAATAAAAGTCGATTTTTCCTCGATTTGGGATTTTTTTTTAAAAAAAAAATAAACCGGTGACTTGGAACACCATAAATCATTCCAAGTGGCGACTCTAAAGAAATAAATAAATAATCCCATATCGAATAATGTCACTTTAATTGGAAAAACTCCATTATATCACCCTCTCGGGGGTGTGACAAGCCTCATTAATTCTGAAGTTGTGGGCTTTTTCTGGTCATTGGATTGTGAAGCTCTTCTTGCCTCTTGAATTTTATCAAGCTTATATTTATTAGTTTTATTTTTATTATATTTATATGACTAGAATTTCAGAAGTGCTAGAGATTTCACAAGTGAGCCGAGTCTCACTCAAACTTGTACACAATATAACTGCTTCTATTAATGTACAAAGAGTCCTCTCCACGACATCTAGTCTACTATATATATAGGAGTTGAAAAATATAATGTAACGATTAATTTTTCGGCAAAGGGCTAAATATATCACTGTATTATTAGAAAATATTTAAATATATCCCTCGTTATACTTTCAGTCCAAATATATCCCTATCGTAATACTATTGATTCAAATATACCCATCTTCCGTTAAGTTTGTCCAAGGTGGACATCCATTCCTACGTGTCACTGACATTTGATGAGGTGGATGCCGCATGGCATTCCACCTCAGTGCTCCTAACCCATTTTACCCCTCCCTTTTATTTTATTTTCCACCACAAAAATTTCCTTCTACTCCACTACCATTTTCACTATTACTGCCACCATTTGAATTTACAACCTTAAATTAAGAGTGAAGAGATTCCAAAAATTCCATCACATTTATGTTAGTTGCGTGTTAATATGATTAAAAATCATCGAAAACTGTGGTAGGTGTAAGATTTCAGTATGATGGTCATCGTGCGATGAGACCTATTATAATTTACTACTAAAGTTGCTACTTAGTGCATAGACTAACGATCAATGAATTGAGTGAAAGTCATGAGAAATTAAGATTTATAATTTAACAGAAACAAAAAAAGCTAAGTAATTTATTCTTTTTTTTCAAATCTTAATGGGTTAGCACGATCCGATACAGTGCTAGTTTGGCGGAGTTTGGTTGAATAATCAACCCAAATTTTGTTCCCTAAATCCTGAATTCTCAACTCCTTATTAGTGTGACTTAAAAAGGAAAAAACAAAGAAAAAAAAAAGAGAAACAATTATGTAGTGAAATTTCTGGATCGGAAGACTTTGTAATGATTATTCCACAAGTAAAGGATGCATCGCCATTGACCTCTGCTGTTATATAGTAATGAATTTCTAAATAGGAACAATTTATCTGGACAATATTTTTTTATTGGAAGTAATTTATTCGTCAACTTTGGCGTAAGTAGAGGTTCTTTTGATGGTTTATCTTTCATAAATCAAACGAACACGACAATAGTGGCAGTTATAGTGATGGAGGAAAAGAAAATTTAAATTGTAAAGAACAAATAGAGGGAGGGGTAAAATGAGTTAGGGGCATTGAGGTGGCATGCCACGTGACATCCAGGGGCGGCTCAAGCACTTTAGTGGCCTAAAGTCAAAATTATTGGAGGCCTTAAATTATAAAAAAAAAATCCAAAAGAAATTACTATTTCTAACTTTTTGAGATACAAAATTATTAATAATTTTTTTTGCTATCAACTTCTTCTAATAATCCTTTTTCGAATGATAATATAGCCAACTCACTTAATCTTTCTTGAGAAAATTTGATCTTGCGTAAGATTTTATGTTAAAATATGGATGAGAACAGTGTTCATCCATGGGAGCAATTAGAGAGAAGCTGGAGAAGAGAAGAGAGAAAGGGATTTTGGAAATGAAACCGTTCCATTACTTCAGCTACAGTAGGCATACGTATATACAGGCTAACTAACTCAACTAATGACAGCTCATTAACAGCTAATAACCTCCTAACTAACTAACTAATTATCTGTCTATTAAATAAGCCACATGTACAAATCTGCATTGATAATAGTTCCCCTCAAGCTGGAGGGTGCAATATGTTGAGCACACCCAGCTTGCCTAACAAATGCAAGTGTTGCTGCTGTCCTAAGCCCTTAGTCAACAGATCAGCTAGTTGATCCCTGGTGGGCACATAGAATGTCTGTACCATTCCCCCTTTAATCTTGTCTCGAATAAAGTGGCTGTCGATCTCAATATGTCTTGTTCTCTCGTGAAAGATGGGATTAGCAGCTATTTGCATAGCAGCTTTGCTATCACTCATCACAGCTACAGGTTGAAGAATTTGAACTCCCAATTCCTGAAACAATCCAAGTAGCCAAGTAACTTCTGCAACACCTGAGGTCATGCTTCTATACTCCGCTTCAGTTGAACTCCTGGACACAGTGTGTTGTTTCTTAGACTTCCAGGAGATCAAGGAGCTTCCAAATTTGATAACATAACCTGTTACAGATCTTCTGGTGGTATTGGTAAGGGGTGAAGCCCGATGCATGCTGGGAGTAAAGATCAATGGTAGTGGGATCTTGGGCTAGTGACAGTGGTGGGATGAAAGCAGGATTTTCTGTGTAGTTAGCAGGGAATGAAGGTGGAGGATGCCCCCTGATCTAGGCTTGATACATCTCCACCATTTGATGCTTCAACCTGTGGACCTCCTCTTTCAATCCGGACTCAAATTCCACCATCTCTCTCGGTGGGTCAACCACACCTATGTCCAATTCTTTGCTAGCCATGAGTGCCTTGCATTTTGACCTGGTGTTATATGGATGACTTGCCAGAATGTCAAACAAACTAACCACCTTCCTGAACTGTAGCGCAATAGCAAACTTGTTAGTTTCAAGAGTTTAACAGATAGGAAATCGCACGTTTGGGATGTAATGCACCTAAACAGTTAAACGCTTCTATCATGTTTTTGAACGGCTGCATGTTTCATCCCGGCCTTAACTAACTCTTTTCACTCTGCACCTTTTTTCTTTCGTTTCTGCCTTTCTTTAATCACTCTTAATTTTCTCAATTTGTTCTTGTCAGGTACCGGAGGCGCCTGTTGTTACCCCTGAACTTTAGGAGATTTTAGCACAGTTCCTGAGTATGTTTGGTACATTGGCTCAGGCGGGGTTGATTCCGGTTGCACCGGCTTCTTCACAGACCGGGGGAGGGACTCAGACTCCCACCTCCCACACTCCAGAGCAACGAGTTCATGTTGGTCAGGTTCCAGGTGTCATGGCGACACAGCCTGTGGTTCCAGTTCAGCCCATGGTCAGGGCAGCAGCATCTAAGGGAGGGCAATTTGGATTTGCAAGGTTCAAGGAATATGACCCTCCTACATTCAGTGTTTTGGCTTCAGGGAGCGCACAGGGTTTTATAGAGGAGTGCCATCGCATTCTCCGCACTATGGGTATTGTTGAGATGAGTGGGGTTGCTTTTACTATGTTCCAGCTTCAGGGAGCAGCTTATCAGTGGTAGCGGGCATATGAGTTGGGTAGCCCGACCGGTGCAGCTTCACTTACAAGGGTTCAGTTTTCAGAGATGTTTATGAGAGAGTTTGCACCTCAGTCCCTTTGGGATGCATGGCGCGTGGAGTTTGAGCAGCTGCGCCAGGGCACTATGTCAGCATTAGAGTATGCCGTCAGATTCAGTGGTTTGGCTAAACAAGCACTGCCTTGGTCGCTACAGTTAGAGAGTGAGTCCGTAGATTCAATGAGGGGCTCAGGCATGACATTCAGCTCAACATGACTCGAGAGTTGGAGTCAGATGTTTCATTTCAGCAAATGGTAGGGATCGCTCATCGGTTAGAGGGCATGTGGGACTGGGAGCGAGAGGACAGAC